TCAAATTATTGTCCTTCCATATCCCTCTTCATTCATAGAAACAAAAAGAATTTGTACTGAATGAGGTCAGGTGAGTAAGGTGTGGTGCAAGAGAGGTATCCTGGGTTTTTTTGGCCCCCAACTGGCACACTGAGGTGGCTACATAAGCAGGTGTGTTGTCCTGGTAGCAAAATCAGTCCGGTGCCTGCCACAAGTCAAGCTTTTTTGTTGCACAGTGGTACGCAATCTTTTCAGAACCTCTAAATCGAAAGCTTGATTAATAGTCTGACCTGGTGGAATGAATTCCAAATGCACTAACCCACTAGTATCAAACACCAAAAATGAGCATCATCTTGATCTTTGATTTCACTTGCCAATCTTTTTTTCAGCAGAGTGATGATGGCATCTTCCACTGGCTTGATTGATGTTTATTTTCAGGGTCATAAGAATAGCACCACATCTCATCACCAGGAATGCTCTTGGGGCTGGGGGAAGTCTGGGTCACTTTGGAGCTGTTCTTTCAAAGCCGGCATGTTTCCAGTTGATGCTCTTTTTCCTGGTCAGCCAGAACCCAAGGCACACATTTCACAGTGACCCTTCTCATTCCCAAATCTTCTATTAAAATTCACTGACCAGGCTCCAAGATAGTCCAGATAGCTTTCCCATCTCTTCAATAGTCCATTGTCAGTCTTTGTGCACAAGTGTACAAATTTTGTCTACAGTTTTATCCGTTCGGGAACTTGACAGATGTCCAGAATGAGGTTCAATCAACTTGTGTTTTTCCCATAGCACTGTTATTGTAAGCTGTGTTCAATATCACAAGTTTCTGAGGCATTTTTCTCAAGCAGGAAACAAAGTTTCAAAGCTGCACACTGTTCTCTTGAATCCACCATCATGAAATATGAGGTTTGAGGAAAATGGCTTTTATGAAAAAGTTCACTGTGCCCAGAGAGAACCTTTCCAGGTGACACCACTAGGTGCACTAACCCAGAGCTACTTCTCTATGCTCACCTAGTGAGAAAAATGTGTTCTAAGTAAGCTCCCCTCAGCAGTATTTTCCAGGTTTTTTTTGGTACCCCCTTGTATATGTGCATGTACATATATGCATGTGTACATATACATATGCATTTTTATGGGCATAGTTCTACTCTCCCTCCTACACTCTTTCAGCCTGCATGTCTATGCATCTACTTGTAAGTCAATGGTGTTCCAGGATTGTGTGTATAACAGTATCCACCGCTGCTGTCTTTAACTCTTGCCCTCCTCCCAGTGTCTTGCTCTGTCTCCATCATTATATTTTAATTGAAAAGTACACATTACAAATGCCGTGACAATATATGGGCTATATAAAAATTATAAAGAGTATAAAAAAAGATATGCTTTCCAACTTCTTTGTTTTTTTAAAAAAATTCCCCCCCAACCTCTCTGTTGATTTGCTTTCACTCTGATTGCTTCATGGCCTGCAGGTTTCTCTGGGACCCCTCAAGTGATATAATTCCATAAGCAAACTCTAGAATAGTCCCTTTTCTAAGTCTATTCCTTTCTGGCGTGGCTCAATTCTTTATAAATATACTTGATAAATGGTGTTGTGTGGATGAGAATCTATTACTTCTTTCATGTGATGGTCATAGAAACTTCTGGAGACAATGCACTGTATATTAGAGAAGGTGAGAGTTTTAGGTTCACTTTAGGAGTCTATATATGGAGTTTCATTTCTACTTTGGACTTTTCTGATACAATCAGGTGGAAATGAAAAGCATCCTTACCGTCCAGCGATAAGGAGCTCTTTCTCTGATGCTTGCTTCCGAATCTTGGTGTAGAGGTCCATGGTGAAGAGGGTGCTGGCGCTGTTGAAGATGGAGGTCAGGGAGCTCATGAGAGAGGCCAACATGACGGACAGCATCAGACCTCGCAGACCTGGGGTCAGAAAGGGGAGCAACCATTGCTATGGGGCTGAACACCACGGTCTCTATTGCCTTCCTTATCCAGGGAGTCATTGGAAAATAAAAATGTCACCTGAAACTTTGACTGGTTCATACAGCTATTAATGCATATGAGCCTGTGGGGTTTCCTATGTGTTTCCTGATGCTATAAGAATAATTCACTCTAGATTTTTTGTCCTAAATATGTACTTAGAAATCATCTGCTGGGACCTGATTTGGGGGAGTACTCTTGACCTGAAGATTTGAAATAACTGAAGAGGATGAAACCTGGCAGGTGGTTCTGCTGAAGATGCCTATGGTAGCAGCAAAGGTGTATGTTTTGAAACATGATGGCCGCTTCCTTTTCCAGTGCCTTCTGCCTATTAGTTATGCCTTAAATGTCATAAGATAAATGGAATATATTTGGTGATGTCATTTAGGGGTTAGTCTCATTTTCTCCTAAAAATGCTCATGTGGGTCAGGAAGCGAAAGGTCACAGAATTGTTAGCCAGCTTTGGTTGGGCCTTTGATTGATGATCACAAGTCATTCTCAAACTCTTCACCCTCCTGTTTCTGTTCATATTTGAAAATGATCACCTTCCAACATCCTATCAAATTTACAAATTTCATTTATGCATGCTTTATTTTCCCTCTTAAAAAAACCAAACTGAAGTGTCAGCTCCAAGGGCACAGGTCATTTTCTTTGTCTACTTACCTAATGTTTTCCAAGGACCACGTAAGTTCCTTACACAGATAGGTATTCAATAAAGCAAAACAAAAACGGAAACCGCACACAAGTCCAGTTATCCACTGAATCCATTCCAACCCATGGCCACTCCATTTGTCACAGCAGAACTGTGCTCCATAGGCTTTTAAATGGCTGTGATCCTTTGGGAGTAGACTACCAAGGCTTTCTTCTCAGGCCCCACTGGGAAGATTTCAACAAAACTGTAGATTGTTGTACCACTCAGGGACTCCTAGGCACGCAATAAGGAGCTATAAATCAAATAGACTGCCATCTAATATTTAGGAACCACTGGCCCTAAGAAATCAACATAAATAATAAACCTAGACTTCTGAGTTTATAAGTTTATGGCTATGGGACTTTTCATTGAGAATGAAGAGATCATGTTTCTAACTGGATTGTATATCAGTCTCAAATCCAAAGGATTAAAGACCCTTCTAACTAGAACTCTTCTTGTTCTGTTTTATCTCTATTCCCAGGGCACAGCACAGGGCTTGGAGTCTACAGAAGGTGCTTGAGAATTGTCTAATAGATTGAATTAAGTTAATACAAATAAGAACGCAAAAGATTCACCATACTCCTTCCTACTGACCCATAGATTGAATAGAATTTCGAGCAGCAGCCAACGCAGGCACTTTCTTACCATCAGGCATCAGTTCCAGCACCAGCAGTGGGTAGGCATAGTTAGTGCAGCCAACTTCAGTACCACAGTGTTTCACACACTCAGAGGGTACCACACACGCCACCTTATCTGAGGAGAGGGTGCGAGGGAAGTTTACAGGACTGAGGTAAAACAGACACTGAACACTAACACCAACAACAAACAAGTTGTAGATTCACAAGGGGAAAAGACTTTATTTTCCTAAGACTTGGAGACTCAATGTTGGATTGTCACTGCTGAGTGCTCTGGTGGGTCTGAGCACATAACATGGCTTCCTAAATGTTCCATGCCTGCAGCTTTGCTTGCACCGACTTAAGGGACAAGTCTTTAGACTGAACGTCCAGTTGGAGCATTAGACCAAGTAGAGGAGCTGGTTTCACCCTTAAGGAAAAACATCAAGGGAACCATTGTCTCAGGAACACAGAATCCCATAGATTAAACACACACACACACACACACAAATGTGTCTAGTCATATTTAGCCCAGTGTCTTTGACCTATATCTAAAAAGAGGTGACAACGTTGATAGTTATTTGGGTAGTTGTCCGTATGTGATGCCTCACTTTATTGCGGTAATTGCATAACGCCTTGGCGATCAATGTTTTTGCTTAATATCACAAAAAAAAAAAACCCCAAAATTGGTAATCACCCAGAATTCTAACACCTTAGAACATCTCTTATTTTATTTTTTAAAATTTCCTTCTAATCCTTTTCCACAGAGCAATGATTAGGCTCATAGTTGTAACTATCTTTTATCATTTACTCTAAAGTCAGAATTCCCCCCAACTTTTACGATAGTCTTCACTCATAAAATAGAAAAACACAACTTGCTGTTCTTGAGTTGATTCTGACTCACAGTGACCTCAGAGGCGAGGGGAGAGCTGTCCTTATGAGTTTCTGAGACTGTAACTCTTTACGGGAGTAGAAAGCCTCATCTTTCTCCCTCAGAGTGGCTGGGGGTTTGGAACTGCTGACCTTCTGGTTAGCAGCCCAACAAATAACCCAGTACCCCTCAGAGCAGAAGATATATTTTTATCAATTCCCTGCTTGTTGGACATCTTTATTGTTTTAACAACATTGTAACTCTAGTTCACCTAAATAAAAATGATAAAGTATCAAATAGATTCAGTATCTTCTGTATGGACCTGATATTTGCAATAAAGAACTAAAGCTGATCTTTAGGAAGATTTTCAACAACAGAACTTATTCTCAGCTAACTCAGAAATTAAAGTAGCAGGGGGGCTGGAAGGATATGAGAAGCTAAGAACAAGGAGTACAAGAAAGAAGAAAATGTCCTCAAATTGGTTGTGGTCATGACTGTATAACTCTTCTTGATTATAATTGAACTATTGAAATGCATGCTATTTGGATTAGGTCTGAACAAAACTGCTTATTTTTTTTAAAAAAAGATATTAAAGTCACTCCTAGAAACCCCAGTTCCAAAGCAGTAACATTAGTGCAGTGCCCAGCCCTCTCAGAAGGATTGAGAAAGATTCTCCAGATCTGTTCAAGACAGAGGTGTCCCTGGGCTCCATCACCACAGTTCTCCCACACTTGCCCCAAAGTCGACCTCCTCCGTCAGCACCCTTCTGCTTCATTTTCTAAAGAAATAGCAAGGACAAAAAAACCCATAACTGTCTTCAGTTTATTCCAAGTCCTGGGGACCCCTGTGGGTCAGAGTAGAACTGTGGTCCAGAGGGTGTTCCATGGCTGCCATGTGGGGGAATTACATCTCTGGGCCTTTCTTCTGAGGACCCTCTGCGTGAACCCAAACTACCAACTTTGGGGTTAGTGGTGGAGTTCTTGACCTTTTGTGCCCCAAGAGTCTCATATGATTCACTAGACTTGCTTAAATTCAGGCCACTCAGCAAAGCTGGACCCAAAGACGTATACATCTGCAGGAGACAGGAGCGTAAAGAAGCTAAGTGAACAAACCATCAGATACACCAAATTTCTCTTTGGACCTTCGACACAAATGATTCCTTCCGTATAGAATGCCATCCTGAGGTTTTCTAGTCTATCAAGTTTTAAGAACATTCTACAAACACTTCAAAGAAATTTAAGCATAAACATATAAGGATACATGGATTCGGGACTTGCCTGTGTACAGGATACGGCTGATCATCCCAGGCATCACCATGAGGAACATAGGCAGCAGCTTCAGGTACCCACACATAATACAGGCAGCCTTCACATGAGACATGTCCTTGCCTGAAAGGCAGCGCTGCACAATGACCTGCCAGGAACACACGATGAACTCATGAAAAATGATGGCATGGCTAGTATCAAATAAAGGGCTTTGGAGTAAGTTCAAACCCGTAATCCTCTTATATGGTATTTTGCCTCTCTGATTCTTAAGTTTCTCATTTATTTTAATAAAATCATTTTATTGGGGGCTCTTACAGCTCTTATCACAATCCATCCATCCATTGTGTCAAGCACATTTGTAAATATGTTGCCATCATCATTTTCAAAACATTTTCTTTCTACTTGACCCCTTAGTATCAGCTCCTCATTTTTCCCCTCCGTCCCCCACCCTCTTCACCTTCACGACCCCTTGACAAATTATAAATTATTATTATTTTCATATCTTACACTGACTGCTGTAGAATCTACATTTCAACATGATCCCTGGGTGGTTCTATGGATATGA